GCTCCGCAGCGTGTTGCTCTCTCGTTGCCTCCTGCGTCCTCTCTTCCTGCTCTTGCTGACCCGGAGTCAGACTCCCTTCGCGCTGCCAGTCCTACTGTCATACGTCTCCTGGCTACGGTTGTCACTGACCCTTCCTTTGAGTCCGCTGCTGCGTCTGCCCTAGTCACTGAGCTTGTCGACTTTGCAGCTGCGTGTCGTCTAGACTACGCAGCGAGTCTTGTTGCTGAGTCTGAGTCTGCCTGTCCTCCGTCCGTCGAGGGTGAGTGTGCTCTTGGCAAGGACGTCCTTCAGGACAGGCAGGAGGAGTTTGGTTGCCTTGCCGCTGCTTTGCCCCATCTCGTGTCCATGCTTGTTGCCCCTGAGGGAGACCCGGATGCACCAGACATCCCGACCCCACGCTCTTACGCAGAGGCGATGGCCGGTCCCTACTCCTCTCAGTGGCAGTCAGCCATGGACACAGAGATGGCTTCCTGGAAGTCCACAGGCACCTACGTCGACGACGTTCCCCCACCTGGGGCGAACATCGTCAGTGGCATGTGGATTTTCAGGGTGAAGCGGCCGCTAGGCTCTCCGCCTGTCTTCAAGGCACGTTACGTTGCACGAGGCTTCAGTCAGCGAGAGGGAGTTGACTTCTTCCAGACCTTCTCCCCTACCCCGAAGATGACCACTCTTCGGGTTCTGCTACACGTCGCCGCTCAGCGTGACTACGAGCTCCACTCTCTTGACTTCAGCACAGCTTTCTTGCAGGGCAGCCTGCACGAGGAGATCTGGCTGCGCCGCCCACCTGGCTTCACTGGGACTTTCCCTCCTGGCACCCAGTGGAGCCTCCGGCGGCCAGTCTACGGTCTCCGCCAGGCGCCGCGTGAGTGGCACGACACACTGAGGACTACACTTGCGGCTCTTGGGTTTGCTCCTTCTACTGCTGACCCGTCGCTGTTTCTGCGCACCGACACCTCGCTGCCGCCGTTCTACATCCTCGTGTACGTCGACGACTTGGTCTTTGCCACTGCGGACACTGCCGCACTCGCCCACATGAAGTCCGAGCTGCAGAAGAGACACACGTGCACAGACCTTTGTGAACTGACAAGCTATCTTGGCTTGCGGATCACCCGGGACAGAGCACGCCGCACCATTACCCTGACTCAGTCACACATGGTGCAGCAGGTCCTTCAGCGCTTCGGCTTCACGTACTCCTCGCCTCAGTCCACTCCTCTGCCTACGGGTCACTCGCTCTCAGCTCTGCCTTCGGATGAGTCCGTAGAGTCGAGTGGTCCGTATCCAGAGCTTGTGGGCTGCCTCATGTACCTGATGACCTGCACTCAACCTGACCTAGCATACCCTCTCAGCATCTTAGCACGCTATGTTGCTCCCGGCCGTCACCGGAAGGAGCACATGGATGCAGCTAAGAGGGTGTTGCGCTACTTGTGCAGTATGTCGGGCATGGGGCTAGTGCTTGGAGGGCGAGACCGGCCTGTTCTTACTGGGCACTCAGACGCTTCTTGGGCAGACGACCAGGCTACTCAGCGGTCGTCTCAGGGTTACACCTTCAGTCTTGGCTCTGGCTCTGTCTCTTGGCGTTCTACTCGTTCTTCTTCTGTTCTCAGCTCCAGCTGTGAGGCTGAGATCTACGCCACGGCCATGGCTGCCCAGGAGCTTCGCTGGCTCACCTACCTGCTGACTGACCTTGGAGAGCAGCCTTGTTCTCCTCCAGTGCTGTACGTCGACAACAAGGCAACCATTGCCTTGTGCCAGGAGCACAGACTGGAGCACAGGACGAAGCACATTGCTCTGCGTTACTTTCTAGCTCGAGAGCTACAGCAGCGTGGTCAGCTTCTTCTGCGTTACGTGGCCACTGATGCCAACACTGCTGATGTGTTCACCAAGTCGCTTCCGCCTGTTGACCATCAGCGTTTTTGCACTCTTCTAGGCCTTGTGCCGACTGTTTCTCACTTACTTACTTCTTGACTTTACCTGTACCGTGATCATTATATATATACCTGCATGTTTGCCTTGTTAGGTTGTGATCATTGTACCTCTTGCTCTATTATAAAACTGCATGTGAACTGGTCTTGTGACCGCTTGCTTGTGCTCGGAATTTGTGTGGAATCCTCGAGATCCACCCTGAGCTTGTTTGCCTTGTTTTGCCTTGACTGGTCTTGTGACCCCTAGGTCTCCCCCACTTTGCCTATGGGGGTGTGTCAAACATTTATATGTTTGTGTGGTTCTAGGCTGTAGTGGGTCACACCATAAGGGTTCACCAGATTAGGGTTTGACATATTTGTATTGTTGTTCCTGCTAGTCACTTTCTCATTCTCGTTTCTCATTCTGACACACCATTCCTAAGGAGCATGCGACGGTTCAACAGGCTCTGGGGGGGGAACACAGGGAGAAATGGCGTGAAGCCATGGACAAAGAACTGAAGGCACTGGAGGAGCGCAACACCTGGAAAATCGTTCCCATCGGCGTAGCACAAAACAAGACTATCCTTACCGGAAAGTGGGTCTTCCGTGTGAAGACGAAAGCCGACGGCACCATCGACAAATTCAAAGCTCGCTGGGTCGTACGCGGCTTTGACCAGGAGCACGGAAGAGATTACACCGAAACCTTCGCTCCGGTCAGCCGTCACACCTCACTCCGAATCCTCATCGCCGTCGCCGCCATGACGAAAAAGAAATTGCGACAAATCGACGTCGCAAGCGCAGTTCTCTACGCACCTGTAGATGCAGAAATCTTCGTCGAGCTCCCGCACGGCTCCCACGGCGAACCCAACCGAGTCTGTCAACTGCTTAAATCGCTCTACGGGATCAAGCAGGCACCGCGACTGTGGCAGTAGTACCTACACGCCCGCCTCATCCGCATCGGTTTCAAACAACTCCCGCATGACCAGGGCATGTATCGCCTCACAAAGGGAAGCGACTACGTTCTCCTAATCGTCTACGTGGACGATCTCCTCTACATTGGGTCAACTGACGGCATCGCCACGTGGTTCGAAGGGGAGCTTCAGAAAGACCTCACGCTCACGGTCTCTTCTACGGTCACGCAGTACCTCGGGCTCAACATCCGCGAGGAAGAAAACGCAATCTATCTAAGCGCCGAGAAGTACGCCGACACCATCGCGAAACGCTTCGGCCTCACACCAAGCGCCATCTCCACGCCTTACCGCTACACGTCAGGAACCGAAAAGGGACGATCTACTCTACTCAAGCCCGCCGGCATACGCGACTATCAGAAGAAGCTCGGATGTCTTCTCTTCGCAGCAGTCACATGCCGTCCCGACTTATCCTACTCCGCGAGCCAGCTCGCCACCTATCTCAAGAAGCCTGAAGCAGAGCATCTGGCGGAACTCGATCGCGCTCTCCACTATTTCGTCAGCACCGCGACGATCGGATTAACCTATCACAAAAACGCAACTACACCGACCAAGCTAATCGGCTACGTCGACGCCGATCACGCTGGCGACACCAATAACAGACGCTCACGCACCGGCTATGTCTACCGCCTCGAACCTATCGGTCCTATCTCCTGGCAGTCGAGTAAGCAGGAGTTAATCGCACTGTCTTCAGCTGAAGCGAAATATATTGCACGCTGCTCAGCCACCAAGGAGGGACTTTACCTTCGCGAACTACTGGAAGAAGCGAAGCTAGCCGAGTTACCCAGCTTCACCGTGTTCTGCGACAACCAGTCAGCAATTCGCATCGCCAACAAGAACGGCTTCGCAAACAGGACGAAACACATCGCCCTGCGCTATTTCTTCGTGAAGGACGAGATCGAGAAGGGGAAACTCGATCTGTCATACTATCCAACATCTGAGATGGCAGCCGATTACCTGACCAAGAAGTTCAGAAAGCAGAAGTTCGAATACTGCATGATGCTGACTGGACAAGGCCACGTCACCTGCGGCGACACTTCAGAAGCGAAGGGGAGTGTTGGAAACAATAAGTCTTAGTGCGCTTCCGTCGTGTCAAAACCCAAGACACTAGCGAAGCAGTCCGAATCGAAGCATCGCGAGTCAAACCTCGGAGGTTAGGGTAACCGCCTGGAGGTTACGAGAAAGTCAAAGGTCAGCGACCTTTGACTCGACAATTACAGCGCGACAGTTAAGGACACACAACTGACTCGTTACAGAGCAGTTGCCCGAGTCGCACTGTATCGAATCGCAACAGCAATACAGTTATCTATCTATTCGTATTCTCTGTACCCTTATATAAAACCTTGTATTTGCTTGTTTAATTCAATCTACTTTGCTCTTACACACTAGTGCAAGGTCGGTTCACAAGTTTCATTAAACGCTTCCGCTATTACAAGTTTCCTACCCAGAGTTATCCTCTGCAAAGATCCTTAAGGGCCTTCTCAGCCCAACAACATGAAAGTCAAAGGTCAGCGACCTTTGACCTGACGCAGCGCGACAGCAAGGACAAACAACTGACTCGACATTGAGCAGTTGCCCGAGTCGCACTGTATCGAATCGCAACAGTAAAATTAGTTACAATGTCTCTTCATATTCTCTGTACTCATCTATTTATATTCTTGTACCTCTTTGCTTTAATCAACTTACTTTGCCCTCACATACTAGCGTAAGGTGGTTCAAGAGCTTTATTCAACGCTTCCGCTATTACAACATCTACTCAGACTTTAACTCTACAAAGATCCTAGGGCGTTTCAGCCCAACACCGCCTAGCTAGGTTGGCCCACTATATTAGCGCATGCCTTCATTGTATTGTCAGTTCATTGAGTCACATCTTCGTTATTCGTTATTCCGCGCACTCTCTTTTACAACTCATAACACCTGACAATCGCAATTGTGATGTCACTGACAGCCGCCTCGTTCAGGTTCCCGAAGAGGGATTCCCGCCCGCCTCGTTTCCCATCAGTGCTGGTTGATGTAATTCTCTAGTAGAAGCTCTCGAAAGTAAAAGCTTCTGGTACTCCAGTAATTAAACGTGAGCGCAGTAGAAAACCGTCAGGATTCCAGGTCATTTTACCAAGGGAGTTGACGCACGATGGCTTTGACCGGAATTAAGGCCGTGAAGAATCCCGTCCGTGTTGTGCTGCAACGGATTGCACAATTTATGTTCGTCGTGATCGGAGTGAGCATCTGGCTTTTCTCTACCTGTAGCCGAATTCGACTCTGATGAGTAATGGCTGTGACACGCTTTACAGATTTCAGGAATTCTTATGATCGCGATGATCCTCGCTTTCCAACAAAAGCCGAACTTCGCTCCTGGATGGTATGCATTTTGATCTTGGAGACTGGGAATAACTCCCTCGGCGGCATGACAAACCTTCCATTTTACAGGTGTATTATCGTCCTTGGTGTCTTGACTGTTGGAGCTTCTGTTTTGGGATTCGCGGGCTTCATTAACTCTGGTTGCTTCATCTGTCACTCAGCGATTCTATCTTTGGCAGCAGTCGGCTGTGGTGCATTCACCCTGGCATTGTTTGTTTCTGTAAGTTCGACACAGCGACCATTTATGAAGTCTGGAAACCTAATGTGTGATTTCTCTTGCAGAAGCCGGCCATTGCAAGGGCCATCAACTCACGTCAGTGGAACGACGACAAGGTAAACTACATTTCGATGCAGAAAGATATTTAACCCACTCCTTATGCGATATACGTTCCCAGGTCTGGGCTTTCTTAACCAAGATCCAGTGGGTCTTCTTGTCGGTCTTTATTTTGGAAGTGAGTCCCCTTGGCGTACAAAGGTCATTCTTTGTAGGACACTACGGTACCGGTGTTCCAAATGTTGACATGTTGATGACATTCTCTGAAAATGATATGTGCAGGTGTTGGCGCTCGTAGTCTCGGCAGTTACACACGCATGCATTCCCGTGGAAATCTATGAGGTAGGAGCAAGGCATGAGCACTACGTAATGTTGTAGCATGCCCCCCCTGTCTGGCCAGCTTCACTCATCTGCTTGTACAGAGCCTTGAGGAGCAACAGCGACAACGGGACACAGAAATGCATAAGCTGAAGAAGACAGTGTAAGCCTCTTCCATTTCCACAAAGAAACTATCGGTGCTTAAGTTTTGTGCCGAACGTTTAAACCATCTACGGTATTCCAGGGAGCAGCAGAAAACGAGAACGGAGAACACGACGGCGGCATCACTTGCAAACAAGATGCGGTCAAAATATGGAAAGTGAGTTTCAAACAACCAGCCAGTTTCTGCTCCCGTATGCACTATGCATGTGTCACTGAGTCTGAAAATCACAGGTGGACAGATGAAGACTTTGGTGAAGGCAGATCAATCTGGTAACGTTTAAGCTACATTCTGCTATGATATCATCAGGCTATGCATGTTCCATGGATCCTGCACAAAGATTTTGTTGGAATTTCTGTAAGTGACAACCAGAAAGTTTAGTAACGTACCTATAATACCTTACAATACAAGCTTTTACAATCTAAAAACGGGACCTACAGAGCTAATCCAAACTCATGGTTTTATGCAAAATCAAATCAAGTTTGTCTTGCACCTAGTTCTACCCAATATGTAATCTGCAAGCTATTATTTTGATCCATTAGGTGTCAGTAGCTTCCATGCTGCCGACATGAGAGACCTCCTCTGGGACCTCTTGGGCAATACTGATGCATCTTGGTCCGCTGGGGGAGCTGACTCTGATAGGGGTAAGGGGACTACAGCAGCCAGAGAGCGAATACGCTCATGGCCAAGTGGGCTAAGGCGATAGAGGTTCGATGTGGCGTTGAGGGGGTTTGATGGAGCTGCAGAGCTGCATGCCTCCAGCAGCTGTGTTGTGCTATCAGCCATGTTGTGAGCTGTGCGGTTGGCTTCCTCCAAAGCACTCCTTATGTGAGGGTCACGGTCAAAGTTGAACCGGAGCATCAGTGACGATAGCAGCGAGTGGATGCTCGAGGCATACGCTTGATGCTGATGTGTTGGGGAAAGGGTGGAAGTTGAGTTGTAAGTCGTGGATCAAATCAATTTGAACAATGGAAATTGGAAAACGCTTTCAAACAAGAACTGCATACAGCCATCAATGGACAGGAAATGCTGATTAATAAGAACAATCACCTGTACAGCTTCAAGCCTTCGTTGCGATTGAAGCTTGGCAAGTTTTTCCGCTAGAGACGCCTTCTCAAGTGCCTCCTGTAAAATTCAAGCAAATCATACACGTCATGTGCCAGCATTCATGTAATAGAATTCAGCCAACGAAGCAATCCGTGGGACACAAGATTACCGGCCCTGAACATGCAAGCATACATACATTTCACAGTGTTCAGCTTACCCGATGTAGTTGCTGTTGCATGAGATGCACGGTCGACTGAAGCGTCTTTACCGACCCCTGCAAGGGATGACGAGGAGTAGGGAGGCGTTAGGCAACACACTACGAGTACGCGCAATTGTTACAACAGCATCAAGCACGGCACTGACACATCGAAACCACCACAGGGGTTTCCGCGGAAAAAGGTCATAAGAAGGACAGATCCCCCTCACCAACGCGTGCGATAGCAGCATCGTATCCAAGCTCGTGTGCTGCAGCGCCTCGCGGAACTGCTCCTGCTCCCGCACCGCGTCCGCCATCTCCAGCACCATGCGCTCCACCGCGCTCGCCAGCTGCCCGCGCTCCGCCTCCACCTTCGCAAGCCGCAGCTTCGTCTGCTCCAGCTCCTTCGCCAGTTCCGATTCCGCGGATTCCGTCCCCCCCTGCGCCGCGCCCGCGCTGAGCCTCCGCTCGCCCCCCGCCAGCTCGCTCCGCGCCTGCTGGAGGGCCTCGTGCAGGCGCTCCACCTCCTCGCTCAGGCGCTCGCACTCCTTCTCCCACGCTTCCGCCTGTGCCTTATCCTTCCGCCACTCCCTCTCCTCCTCCGCCTCTCGCTTCTGCTCCTGCTCCCTCTCCTCCAGTTCCTTATGTAGCTCCAGTTGCCTCATTCTCTCTCGTTCCTGCTCCCTCCGCCGCTCCACTTCCCGTCGCATCTCCTTCCCCCTCTCCTCTGCCAGCTCCTTCTCCCTCTCCCGCTGCTCAACCCGCTCCATCTCCCTCGTCCGTTCCCTCTCTTTCCGCTCCGCCCGATCGCTCTCCCGTTTCGCGGCGTTGGCCTTTTCTAGCAGCCGTCGCCTTTCCCTGCTCTCCGTAGTCTTCCCGTGCGACCATTCCCTGCGCGTCTCCCCCAGAAGGGGATTTTGATCCCGCCGTCCGATCTCGACCGCGCGCTTTTCCTCGATACGTCGCTTCTCCCCAGCAACAACCGCCCCGACCTTCCCCATTTCCCGCGCTAGCTGCCTCTTCCGCTCCTCCCGCAAAAAGTCCCGCTTCGCCTCCCACTCCCGCGCCTTTGCTCGGTCGTCTTCCCCCCGTACCCGGCGCAAAGCTTCCGCTCCTTCCATGATCTCCCCGTTCCGCAATTCTCTTCGGTATTCCATTTCCCACGTGCTCTCTCTCTCCTTCTCCAAAGCCAGAGCTATCAGCGCGCTTGCGCCGCTGCCCTCCCACTCCGCCGGTTCCCCATCCGCGATCCCCCCACGACGAGGCCCGCGCTCCGCCGACTGCGGACGACCTTCCGCCGGCCGCCGGAACGACCCCGCTCCGCTCCCAACGCGCTGGATTCGCTCGGCGGAGTGCGCACGGCTCCGCCGCGGTAGGCCGGCTCGGTCCGCCGTAGCGAGCGGTTCGCCTAGCTTACCAATAGCACTTGCTGAGTCGCACGGTGGCGACGGCGGCGATTCAAACACGGCCGCGCGATCTACGGCGCGCTCTTTCTCTTTCTTCGACCCGGCGACGCTCTTCGTCGCGACAGCGCGATCAACGGCGTTCCTCGCGGCGAGCTCTAGCAGCGCGTCGCGCTCCTCCACGACGAGCTGGAGGCACTTTTCGAGGCTCCGTTTCTCCTCGCGCACAATCTCCAGCTCGCCGACTGCCGTCCTGCCTGTCCCCCCTAGCTCGCTAACTGCCGTCCTGCTACTATTACCCCCTAGCTCGTCGCCCTTAGTTCGACTGGGTTGTTTCTGCTGCTGCTGTTTCTCTCGCGTCTCTATCACGTGATTCCCCGTCCGCATATTCCCGCGCTCTGTTGCAGATGTTCGGCAGAGCAGTATCGATTGACGCTTGAGCTTAAATTTCCTACGAAGCCATTTTCTGCTACGAATAGTCTACCCATGAGCAACTATACTCGACCGCCGCCAAGCGGCTGTTAAGATATGGCATAGCTGGATCGAGCTCTCGCGCTCTACTACTGATACTGCCATATAATATCTCCTGCGAGCTGCCGCCGTTCCACTCTGACTGTGAGGCTGTTCAATTCGATCCAATTCCATTCCATCCTCAACGAGAGCACGAGAAAGGTGAATGAAAGCCGTGTGTAAGTCATCGTGACTCGTAACCGACAAACGTTTTTCCAGGCGATCAATTTCCGTCCGTGTTCAACCTGGTCCCGTCACCATGACAAAGTTACCACCAGCATGCGTAGCTTTTGCGCGAGGCGGTGGGTGGCATGGCATCCTATATCCCTCTTTATAACGACAGGTAACGCAGGAGATAGAAATTTCATTCGCAATTTCTCGCACTTCAGGTAACGTGCCATCCAGCGACGCTCTCTTCAAAGTCAAAGCAAAGCCTTCCTCCCTGGCCGCAGTCAGCGGAAAGACAACTGCCCGTAACGTACAATACAGTATCCGTTCCGTACCGCTAAGCGAAATCTCGATCAACCGAGGCTCGAGGCCGAAGCTGGCAAGTGGCTAAACCCTGTATGTTAGTGGAAGAAATGCCAAGCCTCACATTCAGTTATGCTTAGGGAAGCTGTTGATTCGACACAATGTGCGACGCGATGACTCTGCGGTGGGGCATTGCAGAACCCTATGCCTGCTCTTCAGCGGCAGACTGCACTTGTGTGAAAGCGACGCGTAGCTGCTTGTTTCGGGAAGGCGTACCGAAAAAGACCAAGAGGGGACCCACCCGACCACCTACAGCAGTAAGACGCAGTTGAGGCTTTTCCAATCACGGACGGACCGCCATTGGTCTGGAAGGACTTATGTCGAGCGTGATTTTACGCCAAATCATGTCAGTGCGTGTTTCGTGCGTTTGCTAAGGACCAAGAGGCTTACATCGCATATTCCCTCATGTTGCTAAGCGCTACATCTTATCTGTATAGCTCCATAGACACAGAACTCCACTAAACGAAAAACAGCAAATACTGTAACCATTTTGCATCCAACTATGGCATTTTTTGAGGTCTAAACTGTGTTCTTTTTTACTGGGTCGTGCGTGCCAAATATTGTTTGTTTAGGCAGCTCCTGGTACACTGAGTATGAGGCTAGTATACGCATTACAGATTACACTGCATGAAAATCATCTGTTCCACGGACATGTTGGAGTGCACGGTAAAAACATGCTTTGGAAAGCTGCCGAATGCATCGTAGATTGATACAGTGCCTCATTCACAACATGTTTCTACATATAATGAGCACAGCAGATAAGAAGTGCTATAGCCTAGAACACATTTCCCTTGTTCACAAAATACCAGTATTGACATGTCTGTGTGTCGAGCTCTTCAAGTCATACAAGATCAGAGAGTCCAAGCGATCGCTCCACCGCTTTGCACCACGACGCAAACCTCTGCTCCCTTGCTTCCGAAGTTATCAACGGCAGAAACACCACCCCTCTCCCGCTGTCCGCTGCCTCCCCTTCTTCTGCTGTTTGTCTGTCACCTCCCACCACTGCCCCCCCAAGCACCTCCTCTTCACTCCACAGCCCCACTCCTATTCCTGCAGCGAGTGCTGCTCCCAGCGCTGTTGTCTCGATGTCTGCTGGCCGCTGCACGGGGCATCCGAGGAAGTCAGCCTGAAATGGACGGAGGGAGAAAGAGGAGGACAGAGAAAATAGGCACCTCAAAACTCACCAACGCCCCTCCATCCACCCTCAACACAAACCGCTCCTTGTCGGCCTCTCTGCTCCCATGCCCCTTGCTGCTCTCAGGACCAAACAGGAAATGTAAGCCTTTCACATCTTTTCTTCTCACCTACAACTGCATCAGCAAGTTCTTCACCAACGCCCCTCCACCCATCCTCAATACAAACTGCTCCTTGCTGCCCTCCCCGCTGCTGCTGCTGCCACGCCCCTTGTTGCTCTCAGGAACAACAGGAAGGTGGCTCTTCCAGATTCAATCGCCTCACCTGCATCTAAGCGAGCTTTTTTCAAGATGCACAAGGCCACAGCCATCCGTTTCACATCCATCTGTCTCACTTGCATGAGCATGTTATTCACCGATGCCCCTCCATCCACCCTCAGCACAAATTGCTCCTTGCTGCCCTCTCTGTTGCTCTCAGAAACCAACAGTATGGTAAACCCGCTACTTCCATTCGTCTCACCTGCAACTGCATGAGTAGGTTGTTCACTGATGCCCCTCCATCCACTCTCAACACAAACTGCTCCTTGCTGCCCTCCCCGCTGCCTTCCCTGTTGGTATCACTGCTGCTGCCAGCGCTCCCAACTCCTGCTGCTCCTGAGTGCACCGCATCAGACCGCATTGCATCTAGCACCTCCCGAGTCTGCAGGGAGAAGATGCGGAGGCAAAAGGAGGAATGGATGGATGAATATGCTGCATGGTAATACAGCTGCCAGTGCTGCCAGCTCCTGTTGCTCCTGACTGCACCGCATCAGACCGTTTTGCATCTCGAATCTCCTAAGCCTACAGGAGCAGGGTGCGAATGGAGGTGGCATGATGGCTACATGGCTACATGGTGAGTCGCATGCATGGTGAGTCGCATGCATGGTGAGTCGCATGCATGGTGAGTCGCATGCATGGTGAGTCGCATGCATGGTGAGTCACATGCATGGTGAGTCGCACGCATGGTGAGTCGCAAGCATGGTGAAACCATCTGTGCTCTCGTGAAGCGGGGCAGGGCAGACCCATGCTGCTGACCCATGCTGCTGACCCATGATGCTGACCCATGCTGCTGACCCATGCTGCTGACCCATGCTGCTGACCCATGCTGCTGACCACACTCACATGCTCTCGTTGCGCTGTGCGCTGCTGCTGCACTGCACCTGTGGAACAAATACGCTTGCACCAACACCCACCTACTATGCAATTGCTTCCTGAATGGCCCGGGAGCATTCCCGGAACACCCACCTGCTGTTGCACTTGTGGCGCAAGCTGGAAACACTACCCCCCCACCCATCCACCTGCCATGCGATTACTTCCAGCACTGCCCGTGCAATGAGCGCTCTTGTGACTAAGCGAGACAGACCAGCACACGGTGACCACACAGCATCCAAGCCAGCATTAGCACAGAACACACCTGCCATGCAATTGCTTCCAGCACCCGTGCGATGTGTGCTCTTGTGGTGAGCCGTGACAGACCCAGCACACAGTGACCACACAGTGCAACCCACCTGCATTCAAAACCCACCTGCATTCACAACCCATCTGCATTCACAACCCACCTGCATTCACAACCCATCTGCATTCACAACCCACCTGCATTCACAACCCACCTGCATTCACAACCCACCTGCATTCACAACCCATCTGCATTCACAACCCACCTGCATTCACAACCCACCTGCATTCACAACCCATCTGCATTCACAACCCACCTGCATTCACAACCCATCTGCATTCACAACCCACCTGCATTCATAACCCATCTGCATTCACAACCCACCTGCATTCACAACCCACCTGCATTCACAACCCATCTGCATTCACAACCCACCTGCATTCACAACCCACCTGCATTCACAACCCATCTGCATTCACAACCCACCTGCATTCACAACCCATCTGCATTCACAACCCACCTGCATTCACAACCCATCTGCATTCACAACCCACCTGCATTCACAACCCACCTGCATTCACAACCCACCTGCATTCACAACCCACCTGCCCTCACAACCCACCTGCAGTCACAACCCACCTGCATTCACAACCCATCTGCATTCACAACCCATCTGCATTCACAACCCATCTGCATTCACAACCCATCTGCATTCACAACCCACCTGCATTCACAACCCATCTGCATTCACAACCCACCTGCATTCACAACCCATCTGCATTCACAACCCACCTGCATTCACAACCCACCTGCATTCACAACCCATCTGCATTCACAACCCACCTGCATTCACAACCCACCTGCATTCACAACCCATCTGCATTCACAACCCACCTGTATTCACAACCCACCTGCATTCACAACCCACCTGCATTCACAACCCATCTGCATTCAAAACCCACCTGCATTCACAACCCATCTGCATTCACAACCCACCTGCATTCACAACCCACCTGCATTCACAACCCATCTGCATTCACAACCCACCTGCATTCACAACCCATCTGCATTCACAACCCACCTGCATTCACAACCCACCTGCATTCACAACCCATCTGCATTCACAACCCACCTGCATTCACAACCCACCTGCATTCACAACCCATCTGCATTCACAACCCACCTGCAGTCACAACCCATCTGCATTCACAACCCACCTGCATTCACAACCCACCTGCATTCACAACCCACCTGCATTCACAACCCACCTGCATTCACAACCCACCTGCATTCACAACCCATCTGCATTCACAACCCATCTGCATTCACAACCCACCTGCATTCACAACCCATCTGCATTCACAACCCACCTGCATTCACAACCCACCTGCATTCACAACCCATCTGCATTCACAACCCACCTGCATTCACAACCCATCTGCATTCACAACCCATCTGCATTCACAACCCACCTGCATTCACAACCCACCTGCCTTCACAACCCACCTGCATTCACAACCCACCTGCATTCACAACCCACCTCCATTCACAACCCACGTGCATTCACAACCCACGTGCATTCACAACCCACGTGAATTCACAACCCACCTGCATTCACAACCCACCTGCATTCACAACCCACTTGCATTCACAACCCACCTGCCTTCACAACCCACCTGCATTCACAACCCACCTGCATTCACAACCCACCTGCATTCACAACCCACCTGCATTCAGAACCCACCTGCATTCTCAACCCACCTGCATTCACAACCCACCTGCATTCACAACCCACCTGAATTCACAACCCATCTGCATTCACAACCCACCTGCATTCACAACCCACCTGCATTCACAACCCACCTGCATTCACAACCCACCTGCGCTCACAACCCACCTGCATTCACAACCCACCTGCATTCACAACACACCTGCATTCACAACCCACCTGCATTCACAACCCACCTGCATTCACAACCCATCTGCATTCACAACCCACCTGCATTCACAACCCATCTGCATTCACAACCCACCTGCATTCACAACCCACTTGCATTCACAACCCATCTGCATTCACAACCCACCTGCATTCACAACCCACCTGCATTCACAACCCACCTGCATTGACAACCCACCTGCATTCACAACCCACCTGCATTCACAAACCACCTGCATTCACAACCCACCTGCATTCACAATCCACCTGCCTTCACAACCCACCTGCATTCACAACCCACCTGCATTCTCAACCCACCTGCATTCACAACCCACCTGCATTCACAACCCACCTGCATTCACAACCCACCTGCATTCACAACCCACCTGCCTTCACAACCCACCTGCATTCACAACCCACCTGCATTCACAACCCACCTCCATTCACAACCCACGTGCATTCACAACCCACGTGCATTCACAACCCACGTGAATTCACAACCCACCTGCATTCACAACCCACCTGCATTCACAACCCACCTGCATTCACAACCCACCTGCCTTCACAACCCACCTGCATTCACAACCCACCTGCATTCACAACCCACCTCCATTCACAACCCACCTGCATTCACAACCCACCTGCATTCACAACCCACCTGCATTCACAACCCACCTGCATTCACAACCCACCTGCATTCACAACCCACCTGCCTTCACAACCCACCTGCATTCACAACCCACCTGCATTCACAACCCACCTGAATTCACAACCCTTCTGCGTTCATAACCCACCTGCCTTCACAACCCACCTGCATTCACAACCCACCTGCATTCACAACCCACCTGCATTCACAACCCATCTGCATTCACAACCCACCTGCATTCACAACCCACCTGCATTCACAACCCAACTGCCTTCACAACCCACCTGCATTCACAACCAACCTGCATTCACAACCCACCTGCATTCACAACCCACCTGCATTCACAACCCACCTGCATTCACAACCCACCTGCATTCACAACCCACCTGCATTCACAACCCTTCTGCATTCACAACCCACCTGCATTTACAACCCACCTGCATTCACAACCCACCTGCATTCACAACCCACCTGCATTCCCAACCCACCTGCATTCAAAACCCACCTGCATTCACAACCCACCTGCATTCACAACCCATCTGCATTCACAACCCACCTGCATTCACAACCCATCTGCATTCACAACCCACCTGCATTCACAACCCACCTGCATTCACAACCCACCTGCATTCTCAACCCACCTGCATTCACAACCCACCTGCATTCACAACCCATCTGCATTCACAACCCATCTGCATTCACAACCCATCTGCATTCACAACCCACCTGCATTCACAACCCACCTGCATTCACAACCCATCTCCATTCACAACACACCTGCCCTCACAACCCACCTGCATTCACAACTCACCTGCCCTCACAACCCACCTGCATTCACAACTCATCTGCCCTCACAAACCTCCTGCATTTACATTACAACCCACCTGCATTCACAACCCTCCTGCATTTACATTACAACCCACCTGCATTCACAACCCACCTGTATTCACAACCCACCTGCATTCACAACCCACCTGCGTTCACAACGCACCTGCATTCACAGCCCACCTGCATTCACAACCCATCTGCATTCACAACCCATCTGCATTCACAACCCACCTGCATTCACAACCCACCTGCATTCACAATCCACCTGCATTCACAACCCACCTGCATTCACAACCCATCTGCATTCACAACCCACCTGCATTCACAACCCACCTGCATTCACAACCCACCTGCATTCACAACCCATCTGCATTCACAACCCACCTGCATTTACAACCCACCTGCATTCACAACCCACCTGCATTCACAACCCACCTGCATTCACAACCCACCTGCATTCACAAACCACCTGCATTCACAACCCACCTGCATTCACAATCCACCTGCCTTCACAACCCACCTGCATTCACAACCCACCTGCATTCACAACCCACCTGCATTCACAACCCACCTGCATTCACAACCAACCTGCATTCACAAACCACCTGCATTCACAACCCACCTGCATTCACAATCCACCTGCCTTCACAACCCACCTGCATTCACAACCCACCTGCATTCACAACCCACCTGCATTCACAACCCACCTGCATTCACAACCCACCTCCATTCACAACCCACCTGCATTCACAACCCACCTGCATTCACAACCCACCTGCATTCACAACCCACCTGCATTCACAACCCACCTGCATTCACAACCCACCTGCATTC